CATCAATCGTAATAATCGTAATGATAGCGAAATCGGCGTTTGATTTCGCTTATGCAATTCAGACTATAATGGGGTGGCTGAAATAATTTCAGTAGCATTTAGAATAAGCGTGAAATATTTAATATAGACAAGTCAGCTACCATGGTAAAGAGTTGGATAGCACGGGGACGCATTCCGCGATGACGCAGATTCAAGTAGCAACATTTTTTACTCAGAATTTTAACTAACTACCTTGTCTAGATTACAGGGTTGACTTTGCTCTCTCCCCACTTTCGCTCCCAACCTTGAAAGACTAAACAAATGCTGAAAAGGAGGAATAAGGAGGAGGAGGAGGAGGAGGAAAGAAAAACTCGAGTGAAAGTGCCTTCACGCTTTTCATGCGTCACAAGATTGGGAGAAGAGAGGGAACTAGATATATATAGAGGGAGAGAGATCCATTTATGCAGGCACTGCTTTTATGTACGCTACCAAGTCAACCTAGTTTAATTTCAGCTCAGGAGAATTTTGCTGATCGTGTAACGACTCCTTTCTTCCTCTCCACAAGAGTAGATTGGTTGTTAGATAGGTAACAAGAGGGAAGGGATTGGACGTAAAATTTGCCTGAAACGGCAAATCATGAAAAGCTGGAAGGTTAAGTAGTAAAGGCCTTTGAGCTCTGTAGTTGGTTGGCCTCACATCCGAGTCGTTCAAAAGGGAAATGTTCAGTGGATATTCAGTGGACCAGACCTATGGAATTTTAGAGCGGATTGAGATACGAGTTTGATTAGCCGGTGCTACCGAAGAAAAAGTGTAATTCGGGCCATTGGCAGGGCAAAAATTGACCATGTAAATCTATTAATTATTTGTCATTGACAAGCGATAGTCGTGAGCGCAAGTGCTTACGCCTTTGTTAGAGGATGCCGTAAAATGAGCAGTTGATGTACTTTAGCTGACAAAGTACATCCACTGATTACTGGATCCCAGCAATGTAGAGGTGTGCAAAGCCTGTTTTGAGAGGAGATTAAATGGACTAATGTGCAGGAATGGAGGCGATCTTTGAGGACATGGAATTTGACGACGCACAAGGCTCATTGATACGAAAATCCTGAAGGTATGCATTCATCCAGCATGAAAGATTCGTCTCTGAATGATCTTTCCATCAATCCGATTTCTATTTATCAATCCTACTTATTACCGTACTCCTTGCCTGTTATTCCTTCATCCCACAGAACTAAACTTCCACACCACTTGCTACCGTTTAATTTTGTTCCCAAAAAAACTTGCAAAACACCCATTGCAATGGATCCCCTTGTTGCAAGCATGATTTGGCCTTCTTTCTATTGTGGCAATAATTAGGCCCTCAGGGAGTTTAGCGCCTGATTGCCGTGTAATTCAAAAAGTATACAAGTTGTTAATTTCCCAATCACAGTTTTGAGGAGCTGGATTCAACCAGTGGTGCCTTCACATGCAGACAAAACAATACGAATTTTCGTTTTACGTCAGATAAAATAAATGCGATGATGTCGGGAATATTTTATTTTTAGTGGTCAGTTGTGCACTTCTGGGCTATGAAGGTAGCCGATAGGTGGATGAACAAATGTGATAGGCCACCGAACACTCCAGTTGTGATAATTTTAAGGAGTATTGCTTGTTTACGATTCATTAGTATATTTTTTAAGGAAACTTTTGCTAAAGCAAAAATTCACCAAATCTTCATGCATCAAATGTACACATCAAGTTGACCGAAACACGTAGGTGCTGACTTAGGCGGCGGCGTATTGCGATTGGCTAGCAGGAATTTCAAGAGGAAATTTACGAACATTTTGTAATTTATTTTCTGTTAACCTTGGCAAGTAACCTCACGACTTAAGCACTTGTCAATGCTGTCAAGGCACAGAATCGCAGTGATTAGTTACGCAGTTGAAAGGAGGTAGCGAATGGTCCGCGTCAGCATTGAACGTTGATTGATCCAACACTAACAGAGAAAAGACGGTATCACAAAAGTTCTGCAAGGTTTAATAATTTAAAGCCATGAAATTTTTGTTAAGAGGTCTTATTACTTCTCAGAGTCTTCAAATAACAAGTTTTCTCGTTCCCATTTTCATGGTTTAGGACTGCCATATTCGTTAATGTCTGCACGAAATTCCAAGGCCGTAAATAAGGGGTTGAACAGGCACAGATACCACCCAAACAAAACCATAGGTAAGGCTTGACTATTAACTGCTATCTTTGAACCATCTTGACATAGTACGCCTTCAATGTCATTAATTCCTGTCCTTTCATATATTTCCCTCATAAAAGTTTGGCCTCTTCGCAGTTCGCTTCCTCCTTTTCTTTTGCTTCCAGGTGTCTTCTGGTTGTGCATGCTATGCAGATGATAGGTTGCAGCACTGACCTGTAATGAGACATACCTTTACATCACACCATCATCAAGGAAAACCCTTTCCCTTTCCCATTTCTCATATTTTTAAGTCCCAGTACGGTTCATTTTCGTGCACACACCAACACCGAATGGTCTCCACCTATTAATTCACAAGTCTAAAAAAAACAATTTTCAAGGACTTCCAGTGTTTTGACAAGTCGAAGGGCAATGAAGAGAAACAATCTAAAGCATGCAGCATTTATTATCTTTACCTAACTTACTCTTTCCTTTTTTACGTCTGTCACGTCATGTATCCTTTATTCTGCACAAATTTAGTGATGATAAGTCTTTGCAGTTTGAACCTATACCTTCCTCCAATTCATCATCACAACTTGTAGTTGTGATTGCAATTTTTTTCACCACGGAGTTTTCCACCAATCAAAATACGAGAGACGCAAGCTTGTGATTGGTCAACCGAAGGAGCCAAAATGGTGTTCCATTTTAGCACCTAAAGCATCCCCTTGCAAGCTATTCACCACCGACATCTTAACCGCAGCTCGTACTGGCTGATTGACTTTGTCTTAAAGCTCGTTCGCACTAACATACAAGAGTTTCTGCAATTATTGAATTAGATAGCTTCAAAAACAAAAGTTCCTATTTTGATTACCTCCTCATTTTGAACTTGGCAAGTTAAAACAACCACATTGACCGTCATTTCCAACCAAAATGGACACTACATGCCTCGCAAAGCTGCACCCTCAGATTTAAAGCTTATTTATTTTCTGCTGAAATCAGCATCACTTTCCCACAGACGTGGCTTTTTGCCTTCCTACTGTACTTTGGTCACGTAAGTACGAGGATGCGTTAGAACTAGAATGAAGTTGTTGTAACGCCGGTCAAGTAAAAAGAAAAATGACCAATTAGGCTATCAGATTTACTTCAACCTCTGCTAGGCAGCAAATAGGCCGTACAAACCGATCGAAAGGGAGTGGCAGAAAAGGAATTTAATGAACCTTATTTGAATACCAACTGACATTTGATAGATTTGACATTCAGTACGCATGCATAAGTACACAGAGCAGCATGTTGTCATGCCGATGCAAAGTAGTAGACGCACGTACTCCTCGGCCGGCTCATATCGCCCACCAATGCCAAAGCCTGGAACAGTTATGATGGAAGGTGTTGGAGGAGGAAGGAAAGTTTCCAACACCCAGTTAAATAGCATCAGAAGAAGCAGTAAAGACACGCTCAATTTTGATCAAAAGTAGTGCAATCGTTTCTCATTTTTCATCACTCAAGAGCTTGTTGATGTTGAAAATTGCTTTACCAGATACGGACAAGTAAAAAAAAGTGCTGCCCGACAAGCCCTCCGTCTCCTACGAAGTGAGAGACTGTCTAGACAACAAAATTGCCTCGTGATGCAACGCATATATCATTATTTTGGAAAAAAAAAACCGACCTATCACAGTCCACTGGAGGACACACCGCGCCATGTTGACCTCAAAGGTACCAAAAACCGAGGTAATCGCATCAGATACAGAAAATCAAGCCAATCCACAATTGGGAGTCATTTTATGCCCGTAAGTAATCGCTGTTTGTAAGGGTGTTATTGCAGTGACCCACTTTGTGCTATACCACCTGGTCGGCATCACAGCAAGGAGCGGAGGACGCTGTGTGTAGCACGTTTTATGTGTGTTTTCTCACCTTTAGGGGTAGAGACAAAACTTAGAATGCGCACAGACTTTCCCATTTGCTAACAGTCACGTCACAGCGTTCTATCGGGCATGTCCATTGCAGAGCCGGAGGGGGGAGGCTGCAATGATCTGCGGGGCCGAAAGAAGCTCATGACACCAGATACGTTCCAATCCGAGAGAAAGAGAAAGATCGTCTGTAAAATGTCAAATCGTACTAGCCTAACAGCCTTAGACCAATGAACTTTGGACGGAAATTGTCTTCCTTCTGCCATACCTGAACTGTTCTGTGCTTGAATCGGCCTCGTCTACATCTGCCCTAATGTTCAGCGACGTCAAAACAAAGCCTAACCGCGTGAACTTCCGGTTGATCATTGATACCGAGGGCAAACAAATGTCCACCTCGAACTCATTAAACATGACAATGCTTACAGGGGAAAAGAAAGGCGGCGTAAAAAGGAAAGCGGAACTTTAGGCATAGAAAGAGGCTTGGGTGAATTGGTTGATTGGTCCAGAGGAAGCCCGTTCAACTCTGCGCCAGTGGGTTAAAAAAAGGGGCGACGAGGCGCGCGACGTGACGTCAGTAGTGATTGACGTCCGCACTTTGTCGGCGCACCTCGCGTTGGCAGACGGCCGACGGCATAAAAAAATGACGCACAAAGCGTGTGTGTGTGTGTGAGAGATTAAAAAAGCCTTCAAGAGTGGCAGGAGGATGGTCTTTGTAACAGAGATCAAAGACACTAAGTGAGAAAAGGGTAGTAACATGGTCGGCAGATTGAAACTTAAAGCACACGCACACACACAGACAGCAGAATGCACCGCCCCAGTCAAAATGAGTTCTTAATTGATGACCATCTGTCAACACGTCAGAATTATACACATATAAGTGTGCAGACGGCACGTATTTTAGGTAGAAAGCATAAAGCAATACTTTTACAAGGCAGAAAAAGTCCCCACTTCCTTTTAGCCTAATTTCTCTCCTCCTCCTCCTCCTCCTCATCCTCCTCTTCCTCCTCATCTCCTGAGTCAATTTTTGTGAGACGAGTAATTGCAGAGGTTCGATGAGACTTTTTAGAGCCCTTCGATGATCCGGATGACGAAGTTGACTTGGGATCTGGCATCTTCTCACCAAAGGCCTCCAATTCCTCGGGAATAGACATCACGTTGTCAGCCAAGTCGTTGGACCAATCGTCGAAATGTAGACGATTGCATTCCCCACTTCCGTCATCCTAGCCGAAGAAAGAGTGGATAATTTGATCAATCGCGTTAGAAATTATCAACAAGGAGACCACGAGAATGGCCTCAAATAAGCAGATGAATGGATAGGACAAATGAAAAAACCAAGTTCGACATTGACCGGAACTCGATCCGCAAGTTTCTGCATTCAAAACAGCCTTCATTCCCCTGCCGGTGCAAGTGTCCACCACCCACCTCCATGAATGAACTATCAATCATCTCGTACCACTAATATAACCCTTATGCCAAGCCAGCCATTGTCTGGACACCAAGCGGTCGAGACTGGCGAAGCGCCTCACATTTCCCACGCATGAAAGAAGGCAAGTTCTGCCCGCAGTCCTGCAAATCTCGAGTCTACGTCGAGGTAGGGTGGTCCAACGAAGAAGTAGGAAAGCGAAGGCAGATACCTTGCCTATTCCAAGTGAATCTGACATTTCATTAAAACGAAAACACATTATCTCTGTTACATGCGTTCTCGCCATTAGAAAATGGCTTCTTTAGAATCCATTTTTATGGCAAAAGATAACCGGTTGAAAGAAGAGGCACAACACCCATCCCTCCCAATGTAGTGTCTGTCAGTGCTAAGGGATTGTGGTGATAACTTCACAAGCCAGGAGCTCTCAATGATGCATACGCTAACAGACCACTTAGTGTCAAAAATGGGATCAAACTGTGATTGGAGACTATGATAGGTGCTACTCCACCATCCAAGTTACAGGATGGATTTCACCTATGGATTTATGCTTGAAGTTGATAGCGACGTGTTTTTACGCTGCTCTTTGACCATGAGAAATAGTATGCTAGTGATTTGAATTGCCTATCAATCTCCACTACAAAAACCTTCACAAGATTAAAAGCCCATGCATTCGCTCAGCCGAGGGATGAAGAAAAAGTCAAGAGTAATGTGCAAATGATTAACCAGAATAACTGCGTAGAATGGCGGAAGAGCGCACCGCCGCAAGTGCGACCCTCTTCCTGTTGCTACCCTGGGGGAAGCGACTCCCACAAGATGATAGACAATGGAACTGGTAAAAGGTAATGGGCGCTTTTACCTCTCATTCCGCGCTCTAAGTTCAAATTTAATGACTATCCATTAGTAGTAACCTACTTCAGGTCTTGTAAGTGAACAAGTTTAAAAGGAGCGTAGACGTTTGAGTCCCTCGTAGATAGACCCAGCTAGAAAGAATGACAGCAGCACAGACCATTTTGACACAGCCCTCGCACCAATGACTTCATCTTGAAAAGGCTCCGGAGATCATTGCGGACACACTGACACCATCACGTCGATTTAAGAAGAAAATCCCAGGAACAAAGCTTTCCAAATCATTTCGCGAAGACGCTTTTCAGACTCACCGCAAACAGCCGACCATGTTTCCTCAACTCAGTAGCCCTTTTCAGAAATGCTGATCGAACATGCTCATATTCGGCGCGTTTTTGTGCACACAGCGCCTGCTTCCAGTCGGAAATGGACTTCTCTACCATGGCGGCGCTTGAGTTCTTGGCCTTCAATGCTTTCATCGCTTGATGGCCTATTGAAATTGCCTCTGTGTAGTGCTTCAGCTGTGCTTGAGCCTACAAGAGACGAAGCCTGTACTAACCGATCCGGCCCTTTGATAGCTGCACAATAGCCAATGTGGGTGTCAAAATATTAAAGTTTGATGAACCTGATTACCTGAGCCATTCTGTAGAGGGCTTTCGTGTTGTCCACATCGATTTCAAGGGCCTTTTCACACATGGAAATGCAATGTCGCATCAGAGTATCATCGCTAATGGGTTGATGATCCGACTTAGAGGTGGCCCGCTTTGGCTGAACAGCGATTTTTAAAAGGCAAAGTGCTGTGTTGGTGAGAAGGTTTGTGTAGAGCTGCTGAGCCTCTTCATTTGCTTGATGTTGAGAGGCATGTTTCGCTGGTTTTACACTGACGCTGCCTTCCAGACAATTAATTCCACCTTTGTAGGCACGGAGTGCACGTGCGAGATTGTCAGCCTACTTAAATTTTCGTAAGTAACCAGCATTCAAATTTAAGCATTTGCATAAAAGATACAGAAAACAGAGTACATCGACTTCAGGATTGGATGTTTCGACAAGTACCTAATCATTTGCATTCTGAGTAGAAAAATGTTTTAGTCTATGAAAGATTAACACCCTAGAAGACCACAAGTGGTGAAACATCGGCAGCGCAGAAGAAACTGCTTAAGAACAACAAACAAACATCTGTTTACCAATGTTTTCATACAACTTGAGAAACCTCGAGACTGTTGATGCGCTTAAAATTATGCTAATAAGAAGACCAACACAAAGCTACAGATACACAAATAATAAGTGTTAACGCGCAAAAAAACAACATCGGCGAAACGACAAATTACGATACCTAGCTCTCCGTATCCTGTAGATCTACTTAATCAATTATAGGCGTGTAATTGATACAAGGAAGGAGGTGAAAACGAACACAACTCTTTCAAGGACATCTCATAATTGAATTCAAAATAGGCAAACATTTGATGTAAAGCGAACCTTCAGGTACTCGTTACCACGAATTTTGCACATGGAAGCAAGAATAATTTTCTCATCCTCTGTCATGTCCCATACTTCTTTTAACTAGAGACATAGATGAGTGTAAATTGCATTACCTTTTTTAACCGGACTAGATTCACACTGAGAACTGCTTCTCCCTTGCAGGACTCATCCATATGGAAGAAGAGCTTGCCATCCTCACCTAGGGAATCCGTATTCATAAGGCAGTCCTTCGATGCATTAAGAGACAAATTATCCACAGCATCATCAATCATTCTCGGAATGCCACACTCATTACCACACCCAACTGGGAACGTTAGTGTGTTCTCATAAATGCAGAATGACCTCAAAGTTACGAAGCAGTGCACAGTAGCGATATCGAGTTCCTCAGCTATTTTGGGTCTCGCATCACGCATAACTTATTGGGAAGAAGCAATGCCTCCAGATAGCTAAAAGCACGCCAGTGACCTTGAGGTTGAGATGTTATTGGGTGGTGCAAAACCTTATCATGGGGAACTCCATTGCAGATGTTGGTTCTTACGATAACAATTTCGCAAACAATAAATTTCAAATTAAAAAGTCTTTGTGGAATTTAATATGCATTAATATTGCATTGTAAAATCATTAGTGAATCAAAAAATTCGAACGACATTGAACTATTATAGTAGCGAAGATCGTAGATCTGTGTTCGCGCACAAAATCAGCTTAGAAACTGCGACTTTTGAGTTCTGTTACACTGAGTTGAGCTGAATGCGCCCATTCTAGGGACGGAAATGATTGGCCTGTGGGTGGATTCGATGGCCAGCCTCTGCGTACAAGGGCTAGATAAATGCCCCGTTCGCCTAAACATATATTGCATTATTTCATCTTTTTCCTGGATCCACTTAGTACAGCTCCTCCGCCGGCCACTTCGGCATTTCCGATGCTCTAATGAAACACCCACGAGGCAGCCGCGTCTGGCATTAGCAACATTTCGACTGAAGGATTTAATTTGGCCTTTTTGGTAGCTTTATCTGGATGCAAGGTTATATTTGATCGAAAAAAAAACAAGAAACTAGAGAAAAGAAAGTTTGATGAAATCGATCGTGTCGAGAACTAGGTGGTCTTAAACAGATATTTGGCAGGAAATAGGAGACGGAATTTCTCATTTCTCTATCCATCCACTGATGTGTTAAGAGGAAAATCCAACGCAAGCCTTTCCTAGGTGTTTTCGCAGCTTGCCTATAAGACACGGGAATGGAGTAGGGCTACACGCGGACATCAGTGTCAACCCCTTTGCCGTGAGGAATTTAGAGAATCTACCGACCAAATTACTTGTCCATCATTTACACCGCCGACATGGCATAGCTGGTGAGGGCTATGATAAAATACGTAAAGCAAAGTCTAATTTGCTTCCCGCTGAAGGCACTGCAGCCCCCCTAAACTTTCCACTAAATACAGCCTACAGCTCGGAATTTAGCTTAACACAACGTCCAGCTCACGCCTTCAAGGAGCGGACGAATGCCCTGGTAACCACCACCCTTCAGGCATTCGTATAAACAAAGCATTGCGTGGAACATTATTGCCACCGATTAGCAACCAGACCTTTAGTTCCTTGCGAAAGGAAGATGTTAGGTAAATCGAGATAATTTTATTAAGATAGAAAGTATGGAAGTGAGACTGTAGCCTGACCCAAAGGTCAACCCATGCGGTAAAAGTAAAACAGTCGTCCCATGACCACCATCCACACAGGTAGGCACAGGCTCGAAGTATTGCTGTGGCGTCAGTCCCGTTTAACTGGGTCAGGAGACACTGAACCAAGCAAAACTATGCATTGTGAAAGGCGCACAAGAGCAAGGCGAATAGCAATCGACATCTTCAGTCGAATTTGCGTTTACTGTCCGTCTGAAGAGACAAAACAACAGACAAGTAGCAGAAGCGGAATTATTCTGTTGTCCATCGCCTCCGTCGCGAGTTCAGACATTGGAACACTGGACCACAACGAGACGCCTGACAGGGGAAAAAAGGTTCGAACATCGTTTTATGAGGAAGGGATGTGTACAAACAAAACAAGAAGAAATTTTTTTACATGCTTTACACGGGCTTGAGGGGAGACAAAAAGTGGGCGTCACAAACACCAACAACTAGGCAAAAAGTGGCAACAAAGGTGACTTTGCTTTCCATTGACGCCAACCTCACGTCTGGCGACTTTTTGCTCCGTAGTGGAATGCATAAGGCAGAGCGACCTGCACCGAAGGCCACTTGAAGCAGTTTTACTGCTTTGTATCGATGTAAGCGACGTTTAGACCGTGTGAATAGGTCGCTGGGCGAGGCCGCACTTTCGCTCCTCCTCCGTTCTGTTTAAATCTGCATTACTATTACTGTCACGACTGGCTTGTGAGTGTTTTCTTGCAGGGGTGGCAGATGGCGCAGAACACTTTGCTAAGAAGGGCGTAATTAACCTTTCTCAAAAGGAGGAGAGCGACTATTCCACCGCTCTACTTGTCTGGTGATGTTTCTTGTGCTTGTAAAATCACGAGCCCTTCCATTGGGTGGAGGAAAGGCGAAGATGTGGCCTTTGGCTTGGCCAGCAGTACCAAAGTGTCCTCGAGACGACGACTTGAGGGCGAGCCCACAGAAGTGCTGTCTTCTTCAAGGCCAAGTCGTCCGCTTTGGCACGCACGATCTCTGCTGATGGCGGATGGCAGTCACAAAGGAACGTGAGAAACAAGTGCGGACTTGACCGACGCGCCGCCACCTCAGTCGGACCGCCGACCCCAGACACAACCTAATGGTGAAACGAAGGGGGGAAAAAAACAATTTATTTTATTATAAAGGCCAATTATACGGTGGTGATAAAATTCGCCCTCTTTGCGTGGCATCTATTCACATCATTCGTTTTGGGCGGCTTTAACTTGTCCACAAAACACACCGCACCGCTTACAAAATACAAAACAAAATTGAGACAGAAGAGGTCCCTTGTACGAGAATCGTTTGTCATGCTTACAACGGTGGGACATTTTTTTTTTTACTTCACTTGCCTAATGGACAAGCACTTTATTGTGCGTACAAACCACCTAATCGGGACGCGAATGAAGACGATGAAAGGAGATCCAAATGTCCAGTCGTCTGGTGGTGCAAAGAGCGCTAATGTCAAGCCACTCTCAGAAAATCGCATACAGCGCCGAATGTGATACAGTTTTGGTGCATAAAAGGCTAACAGAAGTGAAGATGAGTTAGGAAAGTCGAGCAGGCATACAATTATGACAGATGAGGGAGGACAAAAAAATCTCTTGCAAATGGCGCCATCTTGCACATGTGCAACACGTCGACGCCCAAACACCCCTCAGGCCCAGACACACCAAAACAAACAGATCTACTCAAACTGCATGAAAAACTTGGTCGTATGGGTGAAGTGGAGGTGGTTGAGGCTGCCGAATGGAAGGGGGGGGAGAGGGAGGGAGACAGCGATGACCTCTGCTGTCTCCGACTGGTTGTCGAACTCGTGGCAAGCGCGTCAACTTCAGAAGCCCCCTCAGCCTTAACTTGATGGCTTTTGCTAAGTAATTCAATACAAGTCTACTGTTCAAGTTTTTTTTTTTCATATCAACACCAAAAGCGTCACATTTTTGTCCGGTTTGCACTATGAGATGTAGCCTTTGATCAATCCAAATTTGCCTTTGAATGTGCTCCATCGGGTTGGTATGGAAAAAACGGAGGCAAAAGTTAATTCTGCAACGTATAAATTGGTCAGAGGATCGAGTTTTTGATCAGATTGTCAAACAGCGACATAGTGTGTGAGAAAAATTAGAGCATTTAATAAGTGTACTTTGAAGTCTCAACTCCAATCCGTGCCTGAAGAGCCAATGTCAATGATCAAAGGCTTTGGAGTCAGAAGTCAAAGAAATTCCTATTCTTTTGTTATAAATCAGGTTGATTGGAGGTACAAATAAAACAAATTTAATGCCTAAGAGGAATGCGATCCCAAAATGTGCATTGCACCTTCAAAATGAGTTACTAAATGCAAATACTGACACCTACTACTAACTATAAATGAGTAGCACTTGGATAGTGGACTTAAGGTGAAGAATGACTTAGAGGAGAAGTTCAGAGGCAATCTCGTCACTTTGTAGTGAGTAAATGTTTGAGCAGGGGCGCAAAGCGAAGAAGGATTTGCTGCGCCTTCGCTCCTGACTAAGCAAAGATGAGAAGGAGGAGGAGGAGGAGGTTTCGCATTTGATTATACAAAGGCTCGCAAATGGTCTAGAAGGCCTAAACTGTGTGCAGAAGCAACATATTGGTTCATTAAACGGCTGACCACCCTCCTGCAAAAGGATTTTCCCATCTGTGCTTCAAGGGAGACTCAGGCGTCACCACCGTTCTTACATGACATCAGTTTAAACACCTTTTTTATCGTGGCGGCGTCTTCAGTCGAAAAACACACATCGCAATAAGATGCACTGTTTGTTAGACTTTCCGCTTCGGTTGATGCACATGTAACATTCGCATGGGCTGCGTTGGATGAGCCCTGCCAAGGCGTGCCAACAATTATCGCGGTTCCGTCAGCATTTAGGGCTTGGCATTAAGAAGACACGATTAATAAATAGTTTTAGTGTGGGGAGAAGTAACTGTTGCATCACCTCATTCAGTCTGGCGTAAGACGACCTGCCACAAATCCCATTTCACCTGCTACAAGACAACTCTTCCACTTCCCTTGGTACAGTGTTTCGTGATGTCAAGGGGATGGGAAAATAATGCAACTCCCCATTGCCCCACTTACCGCTCCTTTTCCCCTGTCCATCGAGTGGGTGACAGAAGTTGAAGACTAAAACATGCACTCGTGCGTCAGTTGAACCGACGAATTCAGGAGACTGCATCCTCTCGCCCTCCATCGTCACCTCCTTCCCCAGGCACACATCGAGGGGCTCAGGGTGTTCCCATGCCTGCGTATTTTGCCACGATTCAATCTCTTCGCCGACATGTTGGTTTTCTCGCCCTTTCTATTTCCTTACAAAGACACACACACACACACCCACATACACACCTCGCGGTCTCCCGCAACTGCCGCTACTACTCGCACTCACACACAAGTGAATTTGAATTCGTCTGCACTGATCGCACGATGGACGCGACACCCACCATATTTTGTTGTCGTGAGTGACTTTAATGTGGATGTGTGTGGCTGCTGATGTGTGAAAACATGAAAGTTTAGTCCTCCTAGTTGCTTTGACAGTCCTTCCATCCACGGCGAATTTTTATAGAAGCCATTGGGAGGTGTAAGAATAACGGTGGAGTGCGTCTTCTGTCTGCAGGCTGAGGAAGCGGTCTGGCGTAGTGCAGACTAGGATGATGTCAATGCTAACAAGACCAGTAGAGGCCTCAATGGAGGCAGACTGGATCCCTCCTCGAGTGCCATTGCAGCTTGAGGAGGAGATAGTGAGGCCTAGACATTGTCAACTTGGGCGCAGATGGTCTCTTCTCTCCTTCAGCTGCGCAGGGGAGGCGGGAGTGAAAAATTCAACATCATTTTAATTTGCTTGGGCTCGTTCCTACGCTCCTCCTCAACTTTTTGCGCCTTCATCTATCATTTTTTGACATTTTTGACACCATAAAGTCGGTCCACAATCCAAGAGGGCAGCAGTGACAGATTTTGATGCATCACCTGCTGCGTCCGTCGTTGTGAGCACGTGGGAGAGCGCCTCTTATTGCTTCACCTCCCCATCCCTTCGCGCGTGCCTTCTCCCTCTTCCTTCTCCCCTTTGCATTGCTCTCTCCGATCTACTGCCTCAATACCACCTTTCCACCTTCCATGTCGGCCCACTTAGGAAAGAAGTAAAAGCATAAGCGTTGATTGTTTGAGTGATGGTTGTGGTGAGACGCATTTGGCGACCACTTCACGTTAATTTGCCTGCTACACTGTCTCCTTTATTCTAACTTTTTATAATGAGGAGGCAGTGAGGTGCGGGTGATGAGGAGGGTTGCAGGTGATGCCTGGGAAGGGCTGAAACAGCGTTAGTGGTAGAAGGGCCTCAAGCCGGGCGCACTGTGTTGCCGTGCCATCACCGTCATAGCAGTGAGGCTTTTGTAAGCACGTCCAATGAACCAAAATTGTTGACTGCACTCCTTCAACGCGTTCATTTTCTCTTTATGTAGTACATTTAAGTCACACCTTTTGTGACACCGTTGGACTGGGAAATGCAACTCCATTGAGGCCGAGGGTGGAGGTACCCACGGTATTGCAGCGGTCTCCCTGCTCTACGTCGTGTGGCCAGACGATGGACGCCATCGGGACGTTTGTGTGAACAATTGTTGTCATGCCGTCTGCAGATGCAAGAATGATTGCCAAATTGGGGAAGCAAATAAAGAATTGAGGATAGGAGAGGCGATGACACTGACTCCCTCTTTATTAAGGTCTACTGCAATCATAGTTGGGGGCAGCGTTGCGGATGTTGAGGCAAATCAGTTACCTCGCACATTGGAGGACCAAGTTGGATAACGCGTTGGCAAAATGTGTGGTAACATGGATGTCTGCAACTGCTATCATTTGTGGTTTCCCACAAACCAGGCCATTGGCGTCCTGTGGGGTGAGGGACAGTCCTCGTGATTCATAACCGAATATATCGAGGGTGCAATCATTAGCCTTCCTGCCGCCACTGTGCATCCTGTCGAAATTATCACCCCCATAAAAGTGGTTGTCTTCGAGGTATGCAAGGTGTGTGTTTTCCCTTTTAGACCTTCGCTCCTTCCTTCCCTAAGTTCACTCTCACTTCACTGATGTATTGGCCAAACGCAAGTGTCGCGAGTCTCAAACACCTCCTGGGACCCAACACAGGCTAGCGCAAACAGCTCCACCCAGACCGCATGAACAACTTGGCCACGTGGGGTAAAATGAGGACGGTTGGGAACTTCCGACTGCCTAGGAATTTTCGCCGAACTCGTGTCAAGTACATCAGCTCAAAAGCCTCCGCCGCATCACATTTGCAAACATTCATACTATGCCTGCGGGCTTAGGAGGTGAGAGGGTTGAGGTAAGCCTGGTGGTCCACTCCCAACGCCCAAGATGGACAGTCGCTACATTTCGGTAAGAGTCGACAACTTTACTTGGGAAGTCGAAACAGAGTCCCTAGCGGCGCAGGTAGCTAAGACAGTGGTGACAACGTTTTTCAACCGCTGGATGTGTCAACATAACGTATCTGAATCGGCAGATAGTGAAGAAAATTCTAATTTGGAAAGTCGACTCCTTGCAGAGCTGTGTGAAGCCCTCTGACTTTGCAAAACGCGCACAGCGCTAATAACATGATGAGGACAATGGGCAAGTGGAACGACTCGGTCGTACAATCAAAGACATCTTGACTGCCTTTGGCAAGAGGGAAATTGCGTGTCTGTCGTGTTATGGATCATTAGCCGACTGGAATTTTGCCTTTCCAGATACTAACCGTTAGCGAGATGTAAGTTCGTTCTGACTTTACTTCTCCAAGCATGGAAGTACTGGGAACTAACGTTTCGAGAAATGTGGTGAATATGAAGGAAGGGCAGTGGAAAGTTTTAACGTAGAAGGCACGCGTATTAACTGTTCTTTATTAAAAATCATGAACTATAGATATAAACCAATTCTTTTACAAGGGAAGCATCGCGAAACGTACCGTCTCCGCGACCAATCTTGTCCGAATTGCATAGCCTTGCGCCTTACCAAACAATGGCACCCTAAATAATCTTGATCTCTAAAAATACAACACTAAGCTCTGACAACCAAGAAGGATTTTAAAGCTAGAAGCAAGGATGAACCCAGGCTGGAAGAAGGCTGCATAATAAGCATTGAGCATAGGCGAGGGCAACAGTTCAAGTTGAAGGCGGCCCTAAAATTTGCGAGGATGATGAAATATATACTAGAGAGGTTGAAGGTCAATCCGAACACGAATGCCATGCATGAGGGTCGTGAGGATTCGCTATCCGAGGTTCAAGGACATGATGGGTAGGCAAACAGCTCCTACAGATGACATATAGAGAACACACCGATAAGCTCGACCCCCTCCCCCTCCCCCATTATTTCTTCCCCGTCTAGCTTATTAAGAGTTACTATGACCTATGGATCGTAATTGGACTGATCTCACAAAGAAACTTGGTGTGAGACTCCAAAAGTAGGGGTGTCATGCTTCGTTTATGTGGCTATCTGACGTTTGGCGGTCACTTTAAGACTTGCCTGGCCTTTGTACACATGGGTTTGCCTTTGTGAAATTCCCAGGCCCACTAGCCCTGTCGTCTTCGGAATACATATATCCAGCTGCACTTGCGGAATTCTTATATCGACTAGGAAGTCTCAGGACGCTGCGGCTACAAAGGAAAGCCTGCCTATCAGACATGCTCATTCTATGCTTCAAAACAAGGAAGTGTTAGGGATTTGAACACAAGAAATTCTGAGGTCATATTGGTATCAATTTAGTTCTTGCATAAAAATTATCTATTAAATATATTTAAATTGTAAAAATATTCATTGCAGCACTATGTTTACGAGGCAGATACACTCACTGGTCACAAAATTTTATATTTTGCTTAAAAAAGGTGTCAGCGTACAAATCTTCAAAATTGTGGATAATCTTTTTTCAAATCACATTTGTAAATATTTGCAATTTTTATTCTTGTAAAGTTAAGATAATATTTTTTCCTTTTTTTTGCAATATATACTTTTAACCTTGAACTTGTTTAATTTCCACGGTCCCAACATTTTGCTTGTTGAACATTTGCGAATGGGCACGGTGATTACGTTATGTGCATTGGCATCGTCTTTTTTACTATATTATTCTCTCAGCACTCAATTTCGTAGCTGAAGGCCAAATTTTGAACACATAATTAATTTAATCTTGCTTATAACTGCTTAAAATTATATATTTGACATGCTTTTTGTTTGTGTATATCCCAAGCTATATTTAGTTCTTTGCTCTCGTTGGTTAAGATTAGGTCATTTAATTTTTTGGACCCATGACAACTAACGATGTGATGTTAGCATGTGATTTGGCTTATAGTTTTAGGTCTGCCATGTTCGATTCCCCCACCTTTACACCTTTATTATGTAGCTATCTGCTCTTATGTTCGTGACTTGCCTTTCCCAGCCATTGGTAATGCATTTATTGACTGGCTTTATGTACTATCATTCATCGGGTCTGGGTTTTGGCAATTGCAATATGTCACTTAGATAATTTGTTTTCAAATTTTCTAGTGTGTTAACAAAATTTTTGAATTTCTTTTCTTCTTATCAACTATATATATTTATTCATTTCCTGGTTAGTGGATTGTTAAGGTGCATGCTTTTACGTGTATCCTTCTTGATTTACTTATTTTTAACTAGTAGGAAAGAAAACATGAAAATCGGCAAATCACTGACTGATTATGGCAACAGGCCTGGTGAGTTATTTTTACCCAATTTGTCTGCTTTATTTGGATTAGCAAAGGATAAAAAATCTGCAAATTTGTGCCTTCTGCCACTTTGTTGCAACACGCGCACATGCGCACACGCGCTTGGCGACCTATCGATTGGTCATTGGCCAATTCGCCTTCCAACTATTGGTCAGCTCTGTGTGCACGTTGTTCTACATTTACCCAATCAGAGGTCCAGCTTCGAAAGAGGCTTTGTATGCGACCTTGCACTACCTGTAACAATTGGGAACCCTCCCCCTCCTTCCCTCTTTTCTGCTACACTATGTGAAGGGTGACTATTTAATTCACTTGCAGTTGTCAGTGGAATAACTTACCGTTTATCGGACTCTCCTATCTACACTTCAACCCTGGAGACTTACGAAGTGACACCTCCTAACATATCGTCACCAATGTTGGAGAACACTCGCTTACAACACCGCCACAGCACTTCACTATCGTCTGCAGCTTCAGCAACATCCAAATCAACAATTAAAACGTCAAAGACGGTTGCGACCTCCTCCATGACTATGGAAGGCTTGAAGACATTGTCCGTGAGATCAGCATCCGCAAGTACCACAAAAAGCAGCTTTTTGGAGAGCTCCTCCAGTAGCAGTAGTAGAATGATTGAAGATTCTTCGAAATTGGTGGCAAATATTATAGAGATGCGGAATTTATTTCAGCAAAGTTGTGTATCCGAACCCGTGCTAGAACAGATTGAACATTACTGTCAAGTAAGAGACGAGTTGCCGTAGATTTCAGTATATTTGTAAAAAATTGTGTCTAGGAGCAAAACTGCCAAGCTGTCTTGCAGCATTGTTGTCATTTCCTTCAACTTTGTTTTATATCCGTCTGGAATGCTCCCAAAAAATCATCTTAGTTTTTCTAACAGTTCTATCGCCATGTTTCACAATAAGAAAGTAGTAAAGTTTTACTTTTTTATACGTTTACCGAAATTCCAATCCCACCTTGTAAATACACTTTTATATTTGTGCGATGTACCGCAGATGCAGAATCAGGGAACTAATATCAACGTAATTGACCGGTAAGCCTCTTGACATGTTTCTAGACCGTTGCCCCAAAAAAACATGAGCGACCACATTTTGGCCAATAAAAAAAAACCCGTTGTTTTCCATCGTGCTGATTGGTTGATTCTTCTTTTTGTCTTATTGGTCACTTGAAGGCCAGTTATGATAGAGGATATTTTTATCGGAATGATTGGTTCGTTTCGATTAAAAAAAGCGGTAACAAAACTTGGGTTTTACTTAGAAGTCTCCTATAGCTTCTATGTTGATGATTGCTGCGTTTCAGAGGATCAAATGGCTAGTATGAAACTGTGTTGATAGGCATGGAAACAATGACAGGTCTGACGCGCATTTTTAAAAATGGCCTGAAGATTGATAGTATGGGTGAGTGGTATTTTTTGCTAGGTTGTCTTAAAGTTGCCAAATAGATATAAAGGTTTCCTTTAAACCCAAATTGTCCAATACTGGTTCCACCTAGTCTAGACCATTGAGTTTAGCTGACTTATTCCGCAAGCGATTATTCATCGCCATGGCAGGCTGACAATTAGCTTTTCCATTTCAAATGACCATTTTGATATGCATTTAAAATCCGCTCGCAGATTGATCTTTGAGGAAAATGCTACAACATGACAGTTTTTGGAAGACACATCAAAATTATTACTTCATTCGTGTTTCATCGGCCTACTTGTTAAAATATTTATCAGCATAGAAGAAAGGAATAGCAGTCTTTTGTTTGCTACAGCTAAAGTTTAAAGGAAGGAAAATGAAAATGACTTTTGGAGTCACGTCATCCTACTCTTTACACATGGGACCTAAACAAACGTAAACATATCACCGAAAGCAAACGGGTTATGAGGGATAAAGCCTCCTAATAGTTACTACACCATCCATCTCATTCATTAAAAATTTTTTTGTTAGTCTAAAAGGCTGAACTGTTATTTGGTTGATTTTTGCCTTCTTACCAGAGTTTGGAGACCTTTCTACCACAGTCTTCAAGGCAGGTCGAGCCGCGTTTTACACAAAGGAAGCTTTCAACGTCAAATGAGATTGGATATCGTTTCAAAGAGGTCAAAAAAAGGACAAACCTCGCTTACCTCCGACTTCTCCGACAGGTATGTGCTCGTCAACCATATAGGCCAATGAAACGTTAGCTTATGAGCCAATAAAAAATAGCCGGTTCATTTGAATTTTCTTGGCTTATCGATTAGTGTGCCTACCGCTTTGAACTTGAAAAACAACTAGACAAAATCTATCCTAAAAAAACATTACAAAACACAAAATTTTTTGCAAGAGAAATAATAGTTTTGGTAGGATGCAACACGGTAATGATTATGAGGGAATAATAAGGGCTTTCTTTGGTGGCAGATACTCTCATAACACGACTCACAACATTGCAAATTCTTGCCTCCAAAATAGAGGTACATAAGGCGGAAATTGAGGAGCCAACAGGTTTGACTGCTATTTTCTGCTTACTAAACAGGCAATGATACCACGTCTTATGAAATATGCGTTTTGGACATTATTAACGCCAGCTCGTGGGCCATTGGATAAGCTGAAAAGGACATATCGTGCCCCCAGGGTCAAGATGAAATTCCTTCTACTTTAAGGAAGACGACATGCTCTTGGTTGAGGTCATCCACGAATTTACATGGACTAGACGCCATAACGTCCATAAATATGGGAGACTAAAGTGCAGTGGGAATAAAAATGTCCACTTACCCCATTAATCTTGGTAAGGCAAATCCCGACTCCAAATTGCCTGGCGCTCGTCCACCACGAGTGGCCGAATTGTGCCCCCAACCCATAACCAATTCATGAAACTCGAGTTTATGACCGCTGTTTGTCTTAAATCGTATTCTTGCCTCCTTTCACAAACTCACCCAGCTTGTCAACGAAGTGGGTCTAGACGCCGCACTGACCGGTTCTGTTGGCGTTCCCCTTCTCGAGGCCTTCTGCTGTTGCCCCAGTCTCGATGCCTCGTCATCCCTTCCCTCCCCTGCTGGCAGCGATCCCACAGAAATCGCGAGAGCGCCCTACAACAAACTACCTCCTGGTGAAAAGATGCGTCGAGCTGTCAGACTCCTAATGGCCAAAGGGAAAGACACAGCGATGGATCGAGAGCTCAACAGCGAATTCGTTGCTCTCATTGAAGGTGAATTTGCGATTTTATCCATGCATATTTGTACGATTCGAAATTCCTTCTCTCCCCCTCTTTCAATGTTACTGATTTTGTTGTGACTTTTGCTATTTCTCATGCGTTTTGAATGGCGGAAAGAAGCGGTTTACATGAGAAATCAAAAACATTCTTAGCTATAAATACCTTACTTAATCAGGCCGACAACAAGAAGATGAAAGCCCGATGTTTCCAGTTAACGCCCTTGTAAGCAAACTGTACAAATAAGGTGTTGAGTGGGGAAGACGGAAGGAATAGGTTCGTCCTTGGGACCTTATTAAGATGGATAGGTGGAAATGTACGAGGATAGATAGAAGAATGTATCAGGCGTGAATACGAGATCGACAGGTGGATGGATGGCGACGGAGTGCAAAGTTGAATCCACCACAGCTGAATGGACGAATGGGAAAGAAGTTGAAGTTGGTGGTTTCGAGTGAATCATCCACCCACTACCAGTCACCAATTGGACAGATTGCAAATATTCAGCTGCGCTGGGAGTCAAGTCATTAAATCTTACCCACCAACATTCCTTACATGCACTGTAGTCAAACAACTCACCCCTTTGTTACCTCTTTCCGCCTAGCAATCCAACCAGCACATCACATCCATTTGCCACCAATTGCATAAATCGGAGAGCGGCATCATTTCTCCTTACAACACACTACGGAGGCTGTGTGTTGTGATGTGAATAGGCGTCTAGACGCAACTTTTCGTCTCTCAAATGTCAGGATTACTTTTTATTGTCATTAACGTATGCTAAAGCTCGGATGCCTGATCGTGCATCAAGTAAAGTGAATGCAATCGACTTGAGGGTGGTAAACTCTTCTTTGGATAGGAGAGTGCACGACCCTTTCCATTCCCTCCAAAGTAAGGAAAATCCATGCTTATTCTGACTCCAAAAATCACCTGTGAAAGCTATTGAGGTTGACACAGGAAGGGGCACATTAAGATTTGTCCAGTGCCCCCCTCCCCTCCTACTCCGTGATTATGACCTTTACGGGCGCAGCAGCATGTCTTCCAGGGGAGGAAATGCACCACCCCACAACTTGACGCCTCAGTTGCCAACACCATTTCACCTCCAAATAAACAAATTAAGTGTGCGGACGCAAAAAAACCTCAGAAATGTCACAAGAAGTAATTACATTGCAGGATTATCTGAAAACTTCCCCTTTTCTGCCAACATTTCGAAACTGCACGCCAATTTTTGTGAAATGAAAGCATTGCACCGAAGCGTTTTATCCTTGCCTTCATTACATAAATCTCGATCTTGAACCAATGGGATGGTGCTGGTCGAAAAGCACTGTTGGGCTCCTAAAATCGCAGAAAACGCTTCTTCATTTTCCCACAAAATAGCGCAAAGAATTTTAGTCAATATGGGCAAGTTTCCCTTAAATTTATTCCAACTATTCCGTGATGGGAACTTAAAATCTATTTAATTCACTACCCCGTTTCAGCCAATGAAATCTAAGACACGACTTTCAAGACTACTTCCGCATAGGTTTATTCTAACCAATCAATGATGAGGACTCCTAATCGATTTCATTCGTCATCTTATCCCAGCCAATCAAATTTGGGGTATGGTGTTCAAGGATTGTTTTCCTTTTAATAAATTGCTCCTAAGTATGAAGTTGTTCTAAAGTATTGCACTAGTACTTAAAAAATACACAAACCGATATTCACTTATCGGCGTTCTGGTTAGACCTGACCAACCTACAAGTACAGCAACACCAATCGTCCCAAAACTCGATTTTTAAACTTCTGTATTCTTTTTCACACTAGAACTGACAAATTGCAATGAAAGCACGTGTCAAGACGTAATTGAAGAAGGTGGTTTGGATTATGTCTTTCGTGCCTGTCGATCAGAGGACACTGAGGCGGTAAAGCATGCTCTTCTGTCAATGGTGAATTTACTGCATCGAGTTGGCAGAGCTCACCAGTACGAGATGGTGCGTCAAAACACTTTTGCATGGCTTCTTCTTCTTGCTCTCCAACCCGATGAGGAGATTCAATACTACGTCTTCCTCATCGTCACAATCCTCTCCAATAACAGGTGAGTCTTAACATTTCATGTAGTAAATTGAGTTCTCATCGCCCGCCTCGCCTAATCACATGGAATAATGTCCTGTTGTCGTTGTTAAGCGTCTAAATGACTACCATTTATGACTACATGAAATGAGGAACCAAGTCACACCCTTGTCCATCTTTGAGATGTCGCCATAGAGTGCTCTTTATTGTTGCTCTCTTGCCTATATTGCAGCGAGCTCCGACGAGGCCTTGAACTAACCGCTAAATCGTCTTCTAAAAAGGAAATGAGTAAAGGAGATGTAAAAGGATTGCCAGTGCAATTTAGACCACCTTTACAGTTGGCTGCTTTATTATCTATCAGATACTCCCCATTCTCAAGTCGTTTTGCGATTTTTAGAGAATTGGATGGAGTTCTGGATCGATCCTTGTTAATGAGTCTCATGATCCCCTTCGTAAAGCGTCACGATGTACGCGAATTCGCTCACCAACATTTCACTGAACAGACGCCCATCTTCTCAGGCGATTGGCTCCTCTTCCTCCTTCCTGCTCTAACTTCAGAAACACACGGGGAAGTTGAGGCATTTGCAACCTTCCATTTTGCAATTGCGGCGCAATTAAAAGCCAACCTCCTTCTTGAGCTAGGTCCATCCAGTGTAAGATCATCTGATCATCTACTTAATTCGCATTCAGTAGACTGTGTCCCGTTAATCATCTTACCCAGACGTTGTTCTCGTCCCAAAAGGCTCGAGTTGAATCGGCGCTGGTGAAGATCTCCGGCCTTAAACGAGATCCAGCCTGGAAGTTGGCAGCTCTGACGTTGGATATAATGGGCTCAAAGGTGCCCAAGGCACTTTCCCTCCAAGTATTCCATTGGCCGGTGGAAGATGTTGTCTGTTGGATGAATAGGGTAGGTCAATCGCATCCACCTGGAAAGCGTATTTTTAGGAGGGATTCGATGCAGTGGCTGAGAAGAGCAAAGCCCTTAGAATTGATGGAGACATTTTACTCAGCCTGACCGAAAAGGAATTGGAGGAGGGACTGGGAATTACTAATTGTATTGTTAGACGCAGGTTAGTTTACTTCTCTCCACCAATAAAAATGTGACTTAAAAACCAGTCTGACAAAAATGAACCGGTTATAAAATAACTGCAATTTAGTTCCCAAATCACCAGTCCAATATGAGAGTCTTATGGGTGAAACGTAATGCCTTTGAGGCCGGCGTCAAATCACCGGTCCTGTTTGGCATCACCAACGGTTACACATTCCCTTGGTCTGAAACGTAAAACCACCACTCCGGTGCGTACGTGTGTCGTGTTTGTGTGATCTAAGATGCATTCTGACAAGTAATTTATAAAGGACTTGCATCTTTATGTGAGTAGATTTATGCGACAACTGTGTTACCTCAAATCCATGGTCAATTATTCCCTCATTGATCCAACTGGAGTGGCAGAATTCCTGGAGGAGGCCTCAAAAGATGTCGGTGACTCTGAAAGCATGACAACCGAGGTGATGAATGGTGACTCTGATAGACTGTTGCGATCGAAGTCTTCTACAACTCCTGTCTCAGTCGTAGCCTCAATCATCCCTTCAGCATCGCTCACACAGTACACATACACCCTCCTCTCTCACGGAGTGACGCGACAACGATTGATGGAGCTGACGGAAGAAGAATTGAAGAACACCTTTCACATCTTTGATCCTATCCATAGGCGTCAAGTACTGAAGGCAGTACAAAAAGCCAGTAAGTTGATGCATTTTGATCCACTCACGCATTCAAGTCTTTAGCCTCATCTGCTCAACTCATCCCACCGAATTCGATAGGTTAAAACACCCTTTTCTTATCTTCCATCCAGCCAACAAAAGCAGCGCTAGTCGTGAAGTCGCAGAAAATCGTATCGACTTCTTCATATCCTATCGCCGCTCCAACGGCACCCACTTGGCCAGTCTGGTCAAAACATTATTGCAATTGCGAAATTATCGCGTCTTTCTGGACATTGAACGACTCAAAGGCGGTCGATTCGAGCACAAGTTGATGGATTCCATCAAACGATCCGACAATTTCATCCTTGTACTCACAGAAGGCGCATTGGATCGTTGCAGTACGGATGGAAGCATTGACTGGGTTCGTAGGGTAAGCGATATTCCTGTCCGATCCCCTCATAACCGACTTGAAGATGTGATGTTGAAAGTCACACGAATACCCGACGGTTGAAAAGATTGCAATGAATAAATTAAGTGGGAATAAATTCGATGACTAGAGGAGGAGTGAGAGATTACTGCTTGAACCTCAAATGTGTGCCTTTTTTGCCTCCCCTTTAAAGGAAATCAACTGCGCATTGGAAAACAATTGCCACATTATTCCTCTCTCCGATCGATTCGACTGGGGCAACATCGACACCCTACCCGAGGACATCTGTGCCATCACAAAGTTCAATTCTGTCCAGTCAGTTTCTCTTTTGCTTTTTCTGTGTGAGATTCCATGTCTCGTTGATGCCTCCACCACTCCACTTTAGATGGACTCCAGAGTTGGAGGAGGGTTGCATTGATCGTATCATCGAATTCATGCGACAAAATTCTCAGTCGGAGGGGCGGAAGCATTGAGAGGTGCAGCGTGACGCCGCGTAAACTTCTTTGATTAAAGCATTGACATGAAACGATCTCGTGATTTCTGTCCCCTCGTTGTACACTTGTTTGAGACTGGGTCAAGGGAGAGGAGGAATTTCTGGATGATGTTCCAGATCTCCTGCAGTGACTCTTCCATAGCTGTTCTACCGAGGCTTTGGGTGGGGTAGAAGGAGTCTCAAGAGAGGATAAGAAGTAATGCGAGCATTTTCACTTTCCCATTATGGAGGCTTAGGAACGAGGATTCCGAAAGACAAACACTCGTCTTGGAGCAGAGTGCGAAGGTCTCCCTTCGGGTCCAAAAAGCCTATGCCACCCAGGTATTTGAATGGGAAGGCGTCCTTGTCTGCCGATTGATCACAACCTGCCATCCGGATGAGAATCGTCACTTTTGGGCAGGAACAAACCACACGCCCCCGTCACTCATTGATGCAGTTGGCCTTGCACTGACTTGGGGGAGAGTGGAGTAG